GCAGCCTTTATGGTTATGAATGAAACGCTAAGCGAGGGGGGAGGTGTGACCACCATGTTAGTTTGTTTTGATCTGAGATGCTCTAGTGGCATTCAGTAGCTCTGAATGTCGGCTATAGCACCTTTAATCTTTTTCTTACAAGTTGTGGAAGCACATTGCTAAATTGTTGGATTACCCCTTTAATTTCACCGAAACAGGCCCCAACCAGGCTCACATCATTGTTTTTCAAAAGCTCATTTTTCCTTGTCTACACAAAAACGTGCGGCCGGCGTTGTCAGATTTATCCACTCTGAAGATCCTTTTTGAAAAGTGTAGTTTTAAGGTGTCAAAAAGAGAAACGTGCTTTTTGAATTCAGCCTGCTTAGTGCTGACATGCTCTCTTTTGTCCATCGCCACTACTCCAGCCCGGTTTGTACGCATTTGACCTCCCACTTTTTCTTCCAGTCTTACTTTTCTCATCACTATCGCTTTCTAAACTGTATACATTTTCTCTCTCTGTTTCCAAACTGTGTATTTTTAGTCAGCATTTGGCCTCACCTTGTTCTTCCTTTCATTCTTTTTCACCATCGCTCTTTCTCGCTCTCTCTCTCTCCAAACTGTGTATATTTGGGTCTGTCTATGGGGAGTCAGGGGTCATTATTAATCTTGCTGGCTCTCCTACCTTCAGGCATAACAGCAGGGCAGCATCTGTGTGTGTGTGTGTGTGTGCGTGTGTGTGTGTGTGTCTGTGTGTGTAAGTGAGAGTGAAAGGAGTGGTTGCGAATGAGTCAGTTACACTGTTCGAGTAAAGGTGTGGGAGAACATGTTTTTGTGAGCGCACCGACTATGCCGCCTAGGTGTGTGTGGTTGTGCATGTGTTTGCATGGTGCGTGTTTGTGTGAAGGAGAGGGAAAGTGTATTTTGCCATGATGGATCATGAGAGACCCACATTCTTAATGCACACTCGCACAAGACAGACACCCATGAGAAATGAAGGGGAGAAAGAGAGAGAGGGAGAGAGAGAGAGAGAGAGAGAGAGAGAGAGAGAGGGGAGAGAGAGAGAGAGAGAGGGGAGGGAGAGAGAGAGAGAGAGAGAGAGAGGGGAGGGAGAGAGAGAGAGAGAGATATGATGGGGAAACAGAGTGAGAGAGAATAACAGAGAGAGAGGGGGAGCATGGAGAGTCCCTGTTCCTCCTGAACTCATTAACCGTTGTCCTCTCCGCCCTCCCTCCCGCACTCCCACAATGCCGAGCAGCGGCGTGCATCAATAACGCCGGTGACAGCACGAGGGGGACGGGTCAGACAAGCAACCGCCATCTCCCTGGCAACCACCACTATGGCCACCATCGCCACGACAACAATTGCCGAGCGCACATGGGGGGGTATCCCCCTTCCCCGCTGGCCCAGCTCCCCTCCTGCAGCCATCACACAGCGAGGGCCGCCGCGCCTGCTGCTGCCGGATCAGAAGCAAGCTAAATCCACAGCACGGCTCCGGCATAGGATGAGGCGAGAAAAAGCTGACTGATCTCGATTCTGAGGTGAACTGAATGGACAGGAGATTCTATCTGAGCTGAGTTTAGCAGCGTTATTCAACATTTCAAGAGGAGAGCGGCGGGTACGGGATGTTTCTGGAGGGAGAAATCCCAAAAAGAGTCACTGCAGCTGTGAGGCTCACAGAGTGTCAGTAACTGCATTTAAGACACAAGGAAATATTTGCCTATCACTATATAAAGCAAGTGTCCTTATAGAATAACACAGGTAGCCTAGAGCAGTGGTGCTCAAACTTTTTGAGCCACGACCCCCAAGATAGCAAAAGTTTGTGTTCGTGACCCCCCAGTTTGAATTTTTAATATATCATGAGTAATAACTAATGTGTTAATTCCACAGATTAATCTCTTTACATTAATTTTCTTTTGAATAAATGAATGAATTTAATTTATTTAGAACAAATGAAAGGAAAAAAATATAAAAACAAAAGAAAATAATTTTAAAAAGAGCCAAAAAAAGAAGAATAACATCGCAAAATCAAATCATAATATTAACAAATCCGAAAAAGGAGCAGGAAGAAGTGTACACTTTCATTTCTGACAGCCCTAATACACATTTATTTGACAAATGAAGGATTTATTTTGTTATTATTATTTTTTACAATGATCTGGCGACCTCTTGAAATTATCTTGGGACCCCCATGT